TTCTCCATATCCAAGAGAAGAGTTCAGAGCAGTGCTTGCATTTCAACAGCTGGGGAGATGGTGGTGGTGAGCCCTCTTGCAGTGTGACTGACTCCTAACAAACCCGTTGATATGGGGATAAAAGGGTTTCCCGCAGCCCAGGCAATGCTCTTTCTGCCCCAGAGCATAAAAACCCCTGCTGTGGGTGCTTTAACATAAAATGGAGCACTCACTACCAAAAAAAAAAAAAAAAGGGGGTGGTGGTGGTGAGTGGGAAATCCTCCAGCCATCCTGGAATCTAAATGTTGGCTTCATTAAACTGTGCAGTTAGCTCAGGATGAAGTGTTCCTATGTCTTGGACCAGCTCTAGCGTTTCCATCTTGTGCATGAGCTGAGAGCTTGAAACTTTACTAGCTGTGCAAGGGAGGGACGGAGTGTCCTGCTGCAGTGCTCAAGGAGGTGGTGGCTGGCGAGAAGAGCGGCTCTTGGAGATGTTTCTGCTGCTGGCAATAGAGCTTTGCAAGGACATAACCCATCCTGGCACTCGTTGAGGCCTCTGGATGTGTGAAGCACCGTGTGCTTCTCTGCAGGTGAGGGTGTGCAACTGGAGAGTGCTGGAGAGTGCTATCTCAAAACCTGCCATCAGTGGTAATTCCCGTCCAAGGAAGGCTTCTTTTTCTTTTTTTTTTAATCTTTCTCAGGCACCTTGGGCTTGAGAAAAATCCTCTTCAAAGCCTGAGCAGTGAGCCTGCTGCTGTGAAGCTTGCTCGCTGCATGAGGAGAAGCGTGTGGCTAAGGTCCTTCTGGTGGACCACAGGGTAGAAACGCTGCTCTGAAAATCTAGGGGGAGATGTCTGAGTGAGAGGAGCTGCTCCATGATGGTGTCAAGCCTATGACAAACAAGCTGTAAAATGACAAATTACTCACATCTTGCGCAATGCTTGAGGAGCACTAAGGGGGAAGAAAGTGCTAACAGGGGAGAAGGGCACTGGTAGGGCAGTCAGCGTCACTGCAGAGGTGGTGGCAGTCCTGCCAGCGTGCCGTCACAGGACCTCTTTGTGGTTGCTACCACAAAGTGGGGTGGTTTGTAATGTTCACGCTTGTTTCTGGTCCTTTGGCTGGAGCAAGAACTCCCACACTTACAGCTGTGCTTCTTTAGAAAAAATAAAAAAATATATATATCCATGGGTACTTCCTCATGTTGGGCTGCCACATGGGTGGTGAAAAGGACCTTTGCCAGCTGCTCCACAAGCCAACGTGTGGATTTGGAGTGGTTTGGGGAAGCGAGTAGCCTCACCTCACTCCTAACACCCTTTCATTTAACACCTCTCTCCTAGAAGGATCTTGCTTCCAAAACAGCTTCTCTCCATAGAGCCTCTCTGGGCCTCAACCCTTTTTGGCCTGGGCTTCTCCATCCTTTGCCAAGGGCTGTGGGGGACAGCTGGGATGGCATCCTTGTCCCCGTGCTGGGGGGCAGAGGTGGCTGGGTGAAGCCTTGCAGCTTCTTGCTCAGCTTCTTACCTGCGTGCGACAGAAATAGAGCGAGACGTGAGCTGGGTGCCTGGAGAAAGCTCTCCCTGCGGGCAATCTCTGTCCTGCTGCGTGGAAGCTCCTCCCTTAAGAGGATTTAGCGGCTTTAATAACGCGGCTCATCTGGACTCTCTTCATTCCTGTTATTGTCTCTTATTTTAGTTCTCCGGGGACGGGCAGGTGTAGTGTGACCTACAACCGTAAGCTGGTGCGGGAGATGCTCTAACATGGAGCTTCCCTGCCCCAAGCCACTCTCTGCTTTGGGCTCCCTGAAATGCAGGGAGGGTTTTTTGTGAAATTCCTCCTCTGACTGGAGCCCAGAAAAGTTTTTATCCCTCTCCTGGGTCTTTGTGTCACAGCTATAAGGCAGCAGGGGACCATCCAGGGCTGCGGACGTTGATCCAGTAGGTGTTTAAACCAGAGAGGTGTAGGTGGGAATCTTGGAGACCTCTGGAAAGCCTCTTGGGGCATGCAGTTACCAACTCAAACCATGGCGGTGGTTCTTGGTGCCTGCTGGCACTGTCACAGCAGGAGGCACGCAGCAGAGGCAAAAGGTGCTGCCTCAAGGACCTTGGGCACAGGACCTGTTCCGGGAAAGCCAGGCTGATACTGGGAGATGGACCATGTTCCCTGCTATCTGAGGTGACAATTATTGCTCCGTGGCGCCTGTGGCACGGCAGCCACTTTCTTCTTGGTCTCCTTTCGGTTTCTGCTGGCTGGTGAGCAGGAGATGCTGGTGTGGGTCTAGCAGGGCTTGGGCGACAGTTGTGTGGCTTGGAAGACCCGAGGAGGTGGCCATGCTTCCAGTGGGTCTGTGCAACAAGGGATGATCAGAGCCTCAGGTCTAGCACTTCTTCCCCAGTTTCCTCTTTAGAAAAACCTGTGTGCATCAAAATTAGCTTCTCACTACCAGGAGCTCTGGCACTCACCCTAGAGTGCCTTAGCTTCACCTCTAAAATAGAAGCACCAGGTCTGCATCACCTCTTTCTCCTTCCCTGCCTTCATCTCTGAACATGGAGCATGACACCCTGGGATCTGGAGTCACCAAAGGGTGACTTGGGCCCGGTAGCCTCGCGCCCCACGGTTGTCAGCTTTGATGGGCTAAGAAATAAACCATGCTCTTGCACTAACACTGTAGGATCAGAGCCTTCTGTGAGCAAATGATTAATGACACGTGCGTGAAGGGATGGCTGCAGGAGCCACCTTCTCTTCAGGAGCTGTGCAATGAGCTGCAACCATTACTTAACCACCTCCTTCTCTCCCTGGCTCAACCCTGTTCTTGAAGAGGGAATGAAATGGAGGAAAAGCTAAAAAGCACAGGCTCTCTCTTGGCGTGGTAAAAGGAATAATACGGGAGGCACAGCCAGCGCCAGCAGTTCCTTGAGGGCTGTGGCAGAGCCTGTTTGCTGCCAGCTCTCTGGGCTACCAGGGCTTGACTCTGGAGCAGTTAATGGCTGACTTGGACCTTAGACGGGGTGATAAACGAAGCACAAGGAACTGCCTGCTGGAGGTTGCTTAAATCACCGCTTTGCTGTGCGCTGACAGATTCAGAGCGAGCTAATTTTCTGGAAGAAAGATGAGGCGTTACGGCGGGTGGCTCCAAGAAAGGGACTGCCTGGTGGGTGACAGCAGAAAAAGGGAATAAACCAGTAGCCTGTAGGGATGGGGACAGGGAGCGGGGACGGCCAGCAGGGCAGCTGGGTGGTGCAGGGCTCATCCGAAGTAAATACAGGGAAGGAAGGGCAGGAGCCTGCCTTCAGCTTAGTCTTTCTCCTGTGGGAAGAGGCACAGGCACGGGCTGTCTGGGTGACTGCTCTAGTTCTTTTATCTCCTTGATGGAGCTTCGGAACTGGGACGCCACCATTTAAAAGGAAGACAAATCAAGGTGCGGTGCTTGGACTTAATTTCTGAAACTTGCTGCTGAGGTTAAGTGGCCTGTTTGTCTTCAAGGAGCTCAGGGGCTGGGAAGGGCCAGCTCTCCTGGGCCAGCAGGAGCTTCCTTGCACGTGGGCAAAGGACTGGTGGCGTTTGCTAAGGAAGCTGCTGGTGCAGTTTCTCTGCAGCACAGCCTTGAGCAAACAGGTTGCACCCCGACAGCACTTTACCCTTCACTGTGAAATTGCTGCTGGGCTGGAAGCAGATCACTGATCTCTTCCGGTGTGGTGATAATCCCATGGCCATGTGTACTGGAGAAATGCTGATCTGGGACGAGCTATATACATTAGGATGTCCAGCAGCCCGGAGATTTGGGCTTTAGATAATGGAGAGTTTCCCTTGTAGGCAAAAATAGTTCTGCTTCAGTCAGAGGGAGGTCTCTCGTACACGCGAGCAAAGGGTGCACCTTGAGCTGACCTCCCCCAGCTGGAATGCCTTTGGTCCCTTCTGCTGGTGCTCTCCATCCGTGGCCATCGAGGCAGTTTGGGAAAGGGGAGGGAGAGGAAATAGCTTACAGGGATTTGCGTAGCGGGGCCTGAACTTGCTGTAAAGTAGTTTTACCTGTTGGGAACAATGGAGGCTGTTTCTCAGTGTGCCCTGGAGAAGGGGTTACGGTCACTGGATGTGGCCATGTCCTCCTCCAGCACCTTCCTTTGGCCACTGCCTCTGCCATCTGGGAGGTTTCTGTGCCCTCACCAGGACAGGGTTGAGGGACCACCTGGGAGCTTCATGCCCTCAGCTCCTGCCTCTACAGGAGAGGCTTCATGCAGCAAATTGTCTGTCTAGCTTCAAAAGCAATGCCCTCCAGGACCCTACATTTTTCTTGGGCTGATGT